TTTCTGTAATTGTTTTGGACTTTTGGTCCGCGTTGTGTTCTTGCATTTTCTGTGCTGAATCCAACCGTATAAAGAACGTGAATTCTGGACCAACGGTTGGAAAGTTATAGGCAAAACACTGGACAGAGGTCGAAACTGAAAAGCAGAGAATTTCGACTCTGTGCAAAAAGACCGGTCGCTTTCACCTAACGACCGGTCGCTCATCACGTCCAAATTTGAGTTTCGACTCTGCCAAAAACGACCGGCCGTCACTGTTCATGCGACCGGTCGTCACTGTTCATTTTTCACTGTTCACGATACTATTCACAGCACTGTTCACATTTTTCACTGTTCATGATACTATTCACAGCACTGTTCACATGTGATAAATAGGTGATAAAATGGTGATAGAAAATGCTGTTTGTGTTTTTCTTTAGTTTTCTTGTGTTGTTTCATTTCTTTTACATTTCTTTACTTATTTTTAGTTTCCATTTTGCATTTGTGCATTTGTGGTGTGTCAATTAAGTGTTCTTTACGTACTCAAACTAGAACTTATAGGAAACCGACAAGTTCTTCGTGGGATCGACCCCGTACTTACATAATCTATACTTCGTTAGATTCGTGCACTTGCGGGTATTTTTAATTGGTTGTTTGCACATTAATTTGTGTCCTCTTAGGAATGCAACAGTCATCTGCCGCCAGGTATCATCTCTTCTCTCTCTCTCTCTCTCTCTCTCTGTGTGTCGTCTGGCTCTATGTTCCTTTCTCTCTCGTCGATCTAAGTCTAACCTAACCCACAACATCACCCCTCTCTGTTTCAGGCACGCACAGCACAAACCCTATCAATTCTAATACTTGCATGCTTGAGGCAGCAGCGACAACCACCTCCCTTGCCGAAGGTAAATTCTCCATCTCCTCTGTACATTCTAAGGTTTTTTTAATTTTGAAATTTATACTTATGCTCTGAACTTGAGAAATTATTTTTGCATTTTGTTTGAACGATTCTTCCATTCAATCTGTCTGTGCCCTGTGTGTTTTTTGATAGAGTAAGGAAGAAAGAGAAAAACAGAGAAAAAATGCGAGTTTGATTTTGAGTATTAATTAGCTAATGTTTTGCCTATATCCGATGGATTTATGCTCTGAACTTGAGAATTAATTTTTGCTTTTTTTGAACAATTCTTCCATTCAATATGTCTGTGCTGTGTGTTTTGATAGAGTAAGGAAGAATTTGGTTTTTTGAACAATTTTTATATGTTTTATTATGGTTTGGGTTCTTGGAAGGGTGATCATATATTTGCAGTCTGACAGAAAAAGATATTTGCAGTAGGAGGAACTAGTTTCTGTATTTTTTTAAGAAAAGAAAAAGATTCAGAATTTTTTTTTTTAAGCTTTCATTTGGTTGTTGAGAAAGTCAAGTTTAAATTCTCATGTAATTATAGTTTCTTGTGCAGAGCGACGTTGGCGTTTTGGTTGCTCAGATAAAAGACTTGGGAATGAAGAATGCATAACTGTTAGAACAAAACAAAAACTTGACTTCCATGGTAGGTCTATTATTTATGTAGTTTTGTGTTTTATCTGTTTACTATGTTTACTTTTATGAAGCTCTAATTTGAGGTTATATAATTTTGTTGTTTTATCTGTTTCTTATTCAGGGGCAGTAGTTCATGATTTTTGACATGTTCGTTTGTTAAACTTTGAAGGCTTTTGAAGATAAGCAAACAATTTATTTCTATTTTTACTGAAATTATATGTTTGGTGATTGATTGTTGACTGATACAAGTGTATTTTTGGACAGATGAATGCAGGTTTTTGTCAAGGCTTTTGGAAGGATATTTGTTATTTTTTTGTCATGGGTTGTAATCATTATAATTTGGATTTCTTGTTTTATTATTTGTGTGTATTTTTTTGTGATGATTGTGTAAATTTGTGATTAATAGTTCTTTAGAAACTTAGATTTGAATGATGGATTTTTTTATGGATTATACTTGAATTTGCATGATTTCAGCATTTGAAAGAGTAGAAAAAATTGATTTGGCCCTGTTAATACTAATTAGGTTTTGGTAATTTGACCAAAAAAAAAAACAGATTTTAGCCAGAAAGTAATTTGGGCTTTTAAAAAAATTAGTATTGGGCTAAAGCCCAAAACCGACCAAAAAATACGAACCGAACCGGAGCCTATTCAGTCGGCCCATTTTCGGCTTTGAGTTTAGACCTGATCCAACTCGAGAACCGATGTCTCACTCGGTTCGGCCCACGGGTCATGCAAAATTCAACTCGACCCGAATTGTGCCCAGGCCTATGTTACATAATTATTATATTAAAAAGAAACAGAAAGCCTTTAAATAAAAGGAAACATCAAAAGGAGGAAAAAAACTAACCACAAGAGGAGTATATATATACCCCGAACACTTTCTACTCCTTACCTATCGTTCTTTGAAAAAGAAAAAAAAAAGGTTTTCTCCTCTAAGAAAAGTACTTTCTTCATTTAAAACAAAACAAAAAAAAATTTCATGGCTTCTTCTTTCTCTTAAACTCTGATTTTCTGGTAAGTAATCATCATCATTCGTCAATCTCTCTTTGTTTCTTTTTTCAATCTCTTGACAATTTTTGTTATTCTTTCAATTTCAAGAATTTCAATACCAAAAGGAGAAAACCCTAATTCCTAAATTCATAAAGACCACTCAAAAACTCCACAAACCCAGAATAGTCCTAGAGAATGGCGCCGGTGGCTAGAGTAGATCTAGACAGCAAACCAATAAAGCAAATGATATTGGTTTGGACCAAGCCTTGGTGTTGAGAACCCACCGAAAGCATAAGCTCCCTGGCCCTTACTTTTCTTTTATTATTTTATTATTTCTTTACAATATTTAATACATAACAAGATTAGTGCAGGTATACTGATGATAGTGGAAAAGCACAGGCTTGGAATCAAACCTGCACAAGAACCAATTTAATATGACAAGATATGTTGAAAAGCAGCTTTTTGTTTAATATATTATAATGGTAAAAAGAAAAGAACAAATGCAATTGGGAGCATGCATAAGCACAAAGAACATACCCTTATAATTCGTTTATATGGTTACCTTATATATTATATAAACTATTCATATATATATATATATAGTAATTCTATGGATGATTTCACCTCCTATATTTTTAGTGGTGATTTTATCCCCATATTTATTTTAACAAAAATGGACGGTTTCACCTCCTATATTTTTAGTGGTTGTTTTATCCCCACATTTATTTTATTACTGTATGGTGTAGGTTTATTACCCATACAACAGTATTTATTTAAAAGTGTGGCGCGGGTTTATTGTCCACACAACTGCTTTTACTTTTATTTAAAGGTATGGAGTAGAATTAATACCCATACAGGCACATTTACTTTATCGCACATTTACTTTATTATTTAAAGTATGGTGCGGAATTAACGTCCATACAGCAAGCAATTTAATTTATGAATTTACTTTACCGCACATTTACATTTATTTAAAGTATGGTGCAGGTTTATCGTCCATACCAGTAATTTATTTACCAGCAATTTATTTTATGAATTAATTGTGTGGTATGATGGGTTTTTTTACAGCATACAAAGATCAGGACCAGAAGTTCCTTGATCCTCATCATACAACTACATCAGGACCTGAAGATCCTTGATGATGATAATGATATGAGAGTTGGCAGTCTCTCCGGTACTATATTTGTAAACAAGAGATCGGACCTGAAGATCATTGATCCTTGACATGTAAATAAGGACCTGGAGTTCCTTGATAATGTAACAGTACCGTATTGGTTAATATTGCCGTACACATGAATAGTAACTGTACTGGCAAATGTATTGTACGCATGAATAGAAACGTATTCATGACCTGATGAATAGTATCATATACATGAATAGTGACGTATGCATAAATATTAACCATTTTGGGTAAACCGTCACTATATACAAAAGGGAACTTGCAGTTCCTTAAACTCATGAATGAGCAATTAAATGAGATGCCAGAAGTTCCTCAAAACATGGACGATTATGTAAGGACCTGAAGTCCCGAAATATATACAGGAAACTATAAAAATGTCCATACCATGAGAATATCTGATTTTGGCCCAAAGTTCAAAATCTGAGAATATTGAATGTCCATACCATGAAAATATGCGATTCTGGCCTGAAGTTCAAATCTGGCAATATTGAGAACCTGAAGTTCCAATAGTTAAATGGACAACCCTTGAGGTATTATTGCAATTGTGGTACACCACATATTTCTTTGGCATAAGAAAATGATGAATTTAATAAAGTTCGATTTTATTACAATCGACACCTCAAGGAGGAAATATATTTTGTGAATTTCGGTTGTTAAAATACACCGTGAAATGGTAATATCAGGATAAACCTCAAAGGATGAATTGAGGCTCCCCACATATTTTGTTATATTATATGATCTGGGCCGGGAGCCCATGGATCCAAATATATGAGAGATCCCGAACCTGAAGATTTTGGTATATAGTAGTTAATGCTCTTCACTACTATATTGCAATATTACTGTGGCTTTTACTCAATTTATATTTCATGCCCATTTGAAAAGGGTAAATACATTACGAGGTTGTGTTTTAGCCCGGGCCAGAAGTTCCGGACTCACATGCATTGAAATATGTAATTTGAGAGATTTGTTGTGGTTATTTGAACCTATAAGGCACAAGGTTCCAAACCGTCATTTTGAAAAGACGTGAAAACCACAGATGCAAGTTTAAGAATTTACCCAATTATTACAACAGGAAATGGAAGGAAGTTGAGTTGAAACACAGATACTCCAATAAGGCCTTACAGAGGCAATATTTATAGGCGGAAATGTGGCACCGTTTCCAGGATCCCAATATTTCCCGGATCCGCATATTGTTTGTGCCTGATAAATCACGGCCACGAGCTGGCCGAAGGAGCCCTTCCTTTCGGCCCTGGCACTTGTTCGCCGAGGTTGAAACACAGCGTTTCGCCAGGGCATGTTCGCCTTCCTTAAAGAATAAAAGAAGAAATGCTAAGGCATGATCATCTCGGCCTCAAGCATAGGCCGAGGCCGAGGCCGAACAAAATTGCGGCCAAGACATTAAAGGCAAATCATCACGTGACAGCAGGGTCCCAGGCTTCATTTAATGAAGTAGTGCCTGCTTAATGCAGCAAAATCCATTGGCCACAAAGTAGCATTTAATGCATGAGGGAAGGTGGGAAGTGACTGAAGTCAGGATTTGGTGGTGAAGATCAGAGTGATTAGACGTGGACATTCTCACAAGAATTCTGACAGCTTGAGATGTTGGTTCACCAGCTATCCAGGAAATAAATGCGTCTCCACGGCCAGAGGTTCAATTCAAAGGGTTCAAACACCAAAACAAGCCTCCCACGGAGCAACTTATTTTCTTCTGTAATGCACTTTCAATATCTTTACTTGCTTTCCTAGGAGTAGTGTTAGGTTGTAAGCAGAATCCATTCATCAATATATCATACGACCCTTGATTTTCAAGGCGCCGGAGCACCATCTCTGTTTGTCCGCTCACTCACCCCATATATCACACGACCGTCGCTCCCTGAGCAGCGCGCCGGAGCACCGCCCAAAACCCACCACCAACACCATCACTCGACGGCCTTGTAGTTCAGGCCGTGAACCTAACAGCCGAGACCAGTTCCTCTCTCGGCTACAATCGTTTGACCAGGAAGGCAGATCAAACAGGCGCACCATTCACCCATCCAAAACTCATCGAAAAATCAACGCACGGTAAACCGTGCTGGCACGCCCGCGCACAACCGCACCGCACCTAAAAGCAGGAAACCCCGTGTTAACGCACATCCCCTCGGCCCGGAACTCCAGGCCGTGAGATTTGCGCGACAGACACATATTCTCTTTTCCTTTCCCAAGTTCCAAAACTTCACGCAGCCTGCATTAATGTTTGTCGGCATTTTCGGCGTTTCTCAAGGATTGTTTTCGTCAAAGCCGATCTTGCTTTGCGGATTTCACTGAGCTACTTTTTCAAAAGCACCCCAAGAATCTCGCAAATTTTCTGTGGTTAATTTGAAATTCACTGGACCTAACTATTCCTCTCATTTATGTATAAATATGTCACTAACGAAATTTTTTTTACAAAATACACCCAGTTTCCTCCATATCTAGTGATGCAATATCCACATGTTTTTCCTATCAGTGAGCACTCGATGTGCTTGAGAAGCGAGACTATCTCTGATCATCAATTCAGGAAGCGAGACTATCCTTGATCGCGTTTCGGCGATGTCGGGGAGTTGTAAAGACGACCACATGCTCCAATCCCCTGAAGCTCTTCTAGACTAGGAGAAATGAGAGTTTGTGGTCTGCTCCCACCAGCTTCCTTCCTTGATTGCTTACCTTATCTTGCAATCAATATCACAATTTTTTTGTATTTTTTCTCTTTTTTGTAACTCTCTATTCATAAGGGACTTGATTTCTTTAGAACGAACATCCGAAGAAAGAATTCATGAAGTGATCCTAACTCTGAGGGTTATTTGTTTTGATAGAGACAAAAGAGTTGTGATTTTTGCTCTTGTAGGATATAACTAGATCATCAGGCATTACATTATATTTGCTGAGCCGATACGAGCTTGAATGATGTTTGAGCAAAGTTTCTCCCGCCTAAGGATGTAAGAAATACTTGTGTTATTTCATGCTTATACTATTATTTTGATATTTTGTACTACATCCTTAAAGGTAACCAAATGAGGAGATAAGGCCGTTCCGGAAGAATGCCGTGCAAAGGACCATTCCAGAAGAATGCCTTGCATTATAGATCGTTCCAG